CAAAACCCCAAAACCCCAAAACCCCAAAACCCCAAAACCCCAAAACCCCTTTAAGCTGGAAAGTTTAAAAATAGTTAGAAGTTATAATTTAATAAGAAATTTGTTAATGAATTATTAAGATAAGTTATTAAACAATCTATAGAGTTTGTATTTTGAACTAACTATATACACAATCTAAAACAACTTGCCAAATTAGGTGGCTTCATTTATTAGTCAAGAAAAGAAGAAATCATCGTCAATCTCCATTCTTTAAGTTTCGTGCTTCTTTATTGAAGGTTTAATTGTGAGAGAATGGTTTTCTTATTAATTTTCGTCTGAAAATGACTCAGAATTTTAACTCTACAATTGGATATCTGATTATCTGATTGGAGAATCACCCCACTCGCAAGTCTAAATGCAAGAGATGCCCTTAAATTGTATAGATTAAGAGAATTGTGCTTTAAAACTTTCCCCTCTTTAGATTTCTTTAGGAGGCATATTGACAAATTTGCACTTTTTGAGTTACTCTAAAGTTGCTCTCTCAATTGGGTCCTTTTTAAGGAACATTGTTAGCATTTCTCTCAATTCAGGTGATATTTCTCTCTCTTCAAATTTGAGGTCAAAGGTGCAGATATTGTCCATTATATCTATTTCTGTCTGGCCAATGTTAAAAGGGAGCTTATTGAAAGTAAGGATATAGATAGTCAAACCTAGAGACCAAATATCAGCTTTTTTCATCGAATAAGACATAGAATCAAATGAACAGCTTTCGGGTGGCAAGAACATGTATGTTCCCTCCATACTTGTTGTGATATCATCATCTTCATTATATAGCTACTTTGCTTTCCCGAAATCTACCAAAAGCGGGCTACCTGCCTCATCTATCATTATATTTTGAGGCTTTATATCTCTATGAACTATCTGTAGCTCGTTATGCAAGTGATCTAAGGCATTTATAAGTGCTTTAGACATTCTTTTGATTGTTTCTTCATCATAATATTTGGCATCTTTAGGGTTTATTTTGTGTGCTTTATTGATATTTTTTGCTTATAATCGATGATTTGGGTGGAACTGACAAGAATTAGAATCCCATTCAATACAATCGCCATAATCTGCTACAGGCATTATCACGTAGAGTTTCTCTGAGATTGGATCATCGATGACTTCATAGATCTTGATCATGTTGGGATTATCTAATTTCTTCATAATATCGATTTCTCTGTACACTTCATCCAGTGCAGTGGTAAATGTCATTCTCCGCCTTGAGCTACAACTACTACTTTTGCTACTAGTAGAACTGCTTCTATTAAAGCTTCTTTATTTCTTCAAATATGGCTTGAAAAAGATTTTAACTGCCTAAAATCTGATATTAGCTCAAAATATAAGTGATATTACAAAGTATTAAGGTACATAGGACTCATCGATGTTCTCCTCTATCAACTAGACTAGCTTTACCTTTGCCTAACTGCCCTAGCCTAGCTTCCTTAGTACTCGATATTTATTATTGATGATGGATTCACCCTATAGTAATTATGAAATCCCTGTGTGTTATCTTACATTAGTTGCCTTTGTTTTTATTACCTACTAAACAAAAGGTTTCTCCTGGGGGTTTTGATTATGGTGACAGTAATCAAAAAAGTTCTGATAGTCTGGCGTTGATTCCTAAATCATACCTTCTATTCGTTCACTCTTTTTTATAATTAATATTATTCAAACTATACGATGAAAAGTTATATTTTATTGCTTCAATCTTATTAATTCTTCCTATATCATATTGACTTAAGGAGTGACTCACGGGGTTTTGGGGTTTTGGGGTTTTGGGG